AAAAAAAAAAAAAGAAACAAGAAGGGGAAATAAGAAGGCAGGACCTTCTCACAGCCTCACCTGCCTGTCCTAACCTCTGTTAGGGAGCACTGACTCTGCTCCCCGTTGTGTTTCCTGGCAGTGACGTAGATAAGGCTTCTAGTACACCTGCCATGTGCCAGGCTCATTGCCAAGCGCTTTGGGCAGATTATTTAAATTAGTCTTCCCATCAAACTCCTGCAGGTTGGAGCTGGGGCTATCCCAAGGTTGAAAGACTTGTCCCAGCTGACGCAGCAGTGTGGCTGGGGGTAGGAATTGGAACTCAGGTCCATCTGAGAGCAAAACCCGGGCTCCCCATGCCTTGGAAGGAGGGCCTTATACGTGGCTGTGTTCACGGTGAACTCCTCATCTTGCGTTCTGCTATTTTTATTTCATATATCATGTTATATGGTTTTTCCCACCCACTGCGGCCTTCGTGTCCGGTATACTTACCGGTTGCCCCTTCAAGTGAAGAGGCGGGCAGTGGAGGCTATGCCAGCGATCAGCCCTAAGCTGATGCCCAAGCTAAGAACCCCGGCTGGCTCGGAAGGAGGGGTGACATCCCCTGCTCCGTTGCTGTGACCACTGGCACTGGGGCAAGAGGCAACACTCTGTGAACCTCCAGAGTTTCCAGTTGCAGTCCCCTCCCTCCCTCGCTGGCCACCGTGTGCAGCTGGGCATACCCAGCTCTATTGGGCCTTCCAGAATTGAGGGGCATTTCCTGGTCATACAGACTGGTCCGTGTGTCCCGAGAGCCTAGCGTGGCCTGGTGGGGTTGTTGGGGGCCATGCCAGTGCCTCCATCCGTTCCCTTGGGTGGGCTGGGGGGAGAAGGAAAGCTGGGTGTCCTCTGACGGGAAGAGTCCGCTCCAGGGAGATGCGGATGAAGTGAGTCATGCTGGGGCGGGGTCGGGGAAGGCTTCCTGGAGGCAGGCGCCTTAGAGGTCAGAGGACGGGGCTCACAGAGGACAGCAGCATGGCCCTCTTGGCCGGGGAGAGCCGCCCCAGCAGCGCCTTCGGCGCTCCCTCCTCCTCCAGGGAGAAGGACAGCCTGGCCCACAGCCTGCAGGCGGCCCAGCAGCAGGCCGAGGAGCTACGGCAGGAGCGAGAGAAGCTGCAGGCGGCTCAGGAGGAGCTGCGGCGCCAGCGGGACCGGCTGGAGGAAGAGCGGGAGGACACGGCGCGGGACAGCGAGCGGACTCGCAGGGAGCTCGAGCGCAGGTGAGCGGCTTCTGGCCTCCCCTGCCCAGACTGGACCTTGGGAGTCCCGACGGTCCTCCCTGGGGGCCGGGGAGGACCGGCAGTGTCCCAGACGTCCTACTGTCTTGAGGAGTCTTTGTGGCACCTCTCTGAGGAAGGGTCTTCTCACCAGCCCCGTTTCGGGAAACTGAGGCTCAGGGAGATACAGTCACTTACCTGGGATCAGAGGACTGCTATGAGGCAGGAGTGTGGACGGTGACAACAACAATAACTAAAATAGCAGTAGTAACACTAATATCATTATTTAGGGGCGCCTGAGTGGCTCAGTCCGACTTCAGCTCAGGTCATGATCTCGAGGTTTGTGAGTTTGAGTCCCACGTCAGGCTCTGTGCTGACAGCTCAGAGCCTGGAGCCTGCTTCGGATTCTGTGTCTCCCTCTCTGTCTGCTCCTGCCCTGCTCATGCTCTGTCTCTCTCTCTCTCTCTCTCTCTCAATAATAAATAAACATAAAAAAATTAATATCATTGTTTAAATTGAAAGAGTAATCTAATGTTACCAAGTATTAGACACCATTTTAAGCACTGAGGTTTTCTCTCTCCCTTTTTTTTTTTTTTTTAAACGTGTATTTATTTTTCAGAGAAAGAGAGCAGGGGAGGGACAGAGAGAGAGGATCCCAAGCAGGCTCTGTGCTGTTAGTGCAGGACCCAACGCAGGGCTCGAACTCACGAACCGTAAGATCACGACCTGAAGCAAAGTCGGCCTCTCACCCGACTGAGCCTCCCCGGCACCCCTACACTGAGGTTCTCATGTTCAGCCCTCATGGCAACTCTGCTGTAGGAGCTCTCATCCCCATTTTGTGGATGGTGAAACTGAGGCATAGAAGGGCCATGTAATTTGACCTAGGTCATCACACGACTAGTTAGTAAAGAGCCGGGCTTTGAACCCAAGCGTTCTGCCTTCAGAGTTAACCTCTTGACCACTGCACTGCCTCCTCCTCTGAGGCATCAGTACCAGTGGTGTTTAGTACATTGTGGTAGAGAATATTGTTCTTGCTTCTGCAGACTGTTGGGGAGATATGTCAGGCACTATTTTAAGCATTTCATGTTCAGTAGATCACATATCCTTACAACAACTTCATGAGGCAGCTGTTAGCCCATTTTGCAGATGTGAAAACTGAGGCCCAGAGTCCCAGGGTCCCAGAGCCAAAAGTGGTGGGCTTGGCTGTCCTTGTGAGTGAGGCTCTGGCCTCCAGGGCTCCCGTCTCAGGCCTAGTCCCTGGCCTGCGCCAGGGCCGTCTGTCTGTGGGAGACTCTGAGCAGGGAGGTGACGTGGGGTACCCGCCCACCCTGTGTCCCACAGCCACAGACAGCTAGAGCAGCTGGAAATGAAACGCTCAGGGCTGGCGAAGGAGCTGGTGGAGGTGAGGGAGGCGCTGAGCTGTGCCACGCTGCAGAGGGACATGCTACAGGCTGAGAAGGCCGAGGTGGCTGAAGCGCTGACCAAGGTGGGTCCCCGAGGCCCCAGGCCTTCTCCCTCTGGCCACACACTGCCCCCTGTTTCAGGCTGGCCTCTGACCCTGTGCACAGGCTGATCCCGGCCCCCCAGACCACAGGCTGTCCTCGGACCCCAGTCATAAGTGAACGGACCTCTATTAGTGGTCATGTCCTTGCTTTTCCAGATGCGTCTGGGGCAGTGCTGTTCAGGCCATCCCATCCCACCTCTGGACACAGGTCCTGGGGTCTGTGAGAGCTGGGGACACAGTCCTTGGCGGGTGCCTGCCCCACCCCTGTACTCTGGGTCTTGAGCAGTGTCCCCTTAGACCCCGCTCTGTGGGACCCTCTGACCCCCGCCCTGCCCTACAAGAGCCGGGGTTCCCTTGGCTCCCGCACAGCTCTGCTGTGTGTGGTTTCTTTTGAGTAACTTCATAGGCAGCCGGCCTGTAGCGATTGTTTTCTGTCTCATGTTGTGTTTTCCCTCGCCCCCCACCCCGTCTCTGAGGGTGTTTCTCCCCACCCTCCCGCCTCCATGCCTCCACCCTCTCCCATCTCCGTGCCTCTGCACGTCGTTTCCTGCC